TTGAGTGGACTCTAGTATCCGGAAGTGGTGTTTTCATTTATTTTGTTTTTCTAAAATACAAATAAAACTTGACTGACTATTTAGTTAAGTGGACGAAACGTCAAGTAAATAATATATATATATATATATATATATATATATATATATATATATATATATATATATATATATATATATATAAAAGTAATTAATATTATACGTACATTGCTATCAACATCTGAGCGATATCAGGTCAATTTCTCAATTGCATAAATGTACATCATATAGTTATCATATTCTCTCACTTAATTCTGTAAATTGATTCCACTGGTAGTGCCATCACTTATTGTTATTTTTTTTCTACCAGAAAATTCAGGGGAGCTCACCTCCGTTTTATTAGTGCAACGAAAAAGGTCTTTAAACTAACATTGTTTGGCCTAAAGACAGATGCACTTATTTTGGTGACTCGCGTGCTGCGAAAACACACTCTCAAAGACAGCTTTCAGTGCAAGGTCTCACACAGCTATAGTCCGTTTGCTCTGGGCGTGGCATTTCCCATCAAATGTATATAAAAATATATTAAAAACATGTTATCGAAGTTCTAGGCCTTGCCTAGCGGTAGAGAGCTAAACTACTAACCCAAGAGTCTCGAGTTCGGATCAGTGGTGGGTAACTAACTTACATTTGGGAAACGAAGGCGACTGGGCATAGTGCTGACCACTCTACCCCTTCATATGCCGAGGTCAGTAAATCAGATGCATTCTACTTCATCTGCCCCATGTGTCTTGGGAAATAACGGGATTAAGAAGTAGAAGAAGAAATTAAATGTAAGTTTAGTTTCTTTTTTGTACTTGACGGTCCATGAGGCTATGGCCATTTAAAAAAAAAAATTAAATACAAATCCCATTATGACGTGACTGTATTTCCGTTTGCCTGCTTAAGTTGAGGATTGCAAAGCTTACTTATTTTCACCACTATCTTTTCCCTTTTGGGCTCAAGATACACGGGACCGCCATAAAAAGCTCCATCCACTTTTGTCAGTCACAGGAAATTTTCCTGGCAGTCCCCCAAATAATTCTGCTTGTGTCAGCTGCTTCCCCGCCGTGCACCTCCACGTCTCCCTTGGTCTTACGTGTTTTCTTTGTCCAGTTTTTATTTGTACCTGACCGATTTCTTCCTAACTTAGCACATAGATTACAGAGCCCCGCTGTTAATACAATAATACATGCATTCGAGCGTGACTGAATATTAGATGAATGATACATTAACTAAACATGACTGGCTAAAATTGTTGGACTGATCTACTACAGCGTGCTAGAAATAGGTGAGCTGTTTTTCAACACAATTTGCGATTTGCACCCCCCCCCCCGCTCAAAATTTTCGATTTGCACCCCACCTCAAACTTTCGATTTGCACCCCCCCCCCAACCTCAAATTTTTCTCTATATATTTTGCTATTTTTTGCCTTGGTGCCACCCCCTCTAAATGGTGTCACCCGGTGCGGTCCGCACCCCCACCCCCGCCCTCGCTACGCCTCTGGTTGTGAGGTCTGTCGTAAAACAAATCTTCACAGGTTATACCACACACTGCCGCACATACCACATGGGACATCAAAGTGTGACTGGGATTACAATATCAAAATGCAAAACAGGTCTGATTTTACGAGTCACCATCTTACATGTACATTTCAAATGGTACAAAACAATGACATATTTTTAGTACTTTCATTTTCCATTACAGATGTGGATAATATTTCAATAGACACCCATCCACCCCCAGCTCCTCTTACATGCTGACACACACATACAGTGGCGTAGCCAGGATCGTCTCGAGGGGGGGGGGTTCAAATTTTTACCCCAAACTTTCGATTTGCACCCCCCCCCCTCAAACTTTCGATTTGCACCCCCCCCCCTCTCATACTTTTTTTATATATATACCGAGGGGTCTATGGGGGTTATGACCCCCCTGCCTACGCCACTGCACATATACTAGCAAAACAATGAGACCAAGCTGCGATTATAAAATTCCCTACGGCTATCTCGTAATCCTTGAATTAAATCGCAAGTGAAACTTTAATTAAAACATTTGCAAAGCGTCTTTTTGTGTAAAACCTGTTCCTAAGGTAATCTGAGTCGATCCATTTTTCCAAATAATTTAAAAGTTAATTTTTATTAACACAATAATGAAAGAGCAAAATCCCACAAACCATACCTCAAACGCGCATTCCAGAATATAAGCCCATCTACCATCGCATATGACCTAAGCCCATGTAACACTGCATTATTCATCGGATCACTACACTGCAGATAGACTACTCAGTGGTATGACTGCTCAATCCTATACCTGAATATGATTAAGCCCCAGCATAAGCCCATGCACTGCGGCATAAAGCCTGAGAAGTTGTTACATTGCTTAATACCTAAGCTGCTGCATAAGGCCTAAGCTTCTGCATCAGTGCATTATCCAATTATCCAATACATATGAATATTGGACGGTGTGGCCTAGCGGTAGAGCGAAATAATGCTAACCCGAAACTCGAATTCGAATCCAGGTTTAAATCAGTAGAACTTTCTTGAGTCCAAACCCATCTCTGATGAATACCTAGCTAACGTCAGGGAAAGTAAAGGCCGTTTTGATAGTGCTGGCAACACTATTGATTCCTTTGTCGAGGTCACAGAAATAGGTGAACTCTATTCATGGCCCATCAGGCTCAACTATACTAATTCGATATAGCTTGAATCCACATATCTCTACATAATCTCGTGTAGGTTTGTATGTCGAGTTTAATTCAGCAGAACATTTTGCTATGTGTGGGTTTTGTTTATTTTCATTTAGTTTTTTATTATGCAATTTGTGGGTTGTATGTCTACTTTCGTCTAGATTAATAAAATTTTATATAATTATATAAGTATATATATTCATCTGGTAATCTATCTATATATATAATTCTCTTCTTCGAGCCGTTAGAAAACAAGCTGCAAACGCGCCTTACAATCCCCTCTCTTCTTCATTCTTCACTAGGCATAAATCAACCTCCCCCACCCCCACATGGTGTTGTGAGCTGTGGTTCACGCTTAATGTTTATATTACTAGAGACGGTCCCAATAATTGACGGCTATTAGGGGCAGATAATTTAGTTTTTAATATATTTGAAACTAAGTGGAGATAACAAGTTCTGCTTGATATTTTCATTGTCGTCTGTAAACTGTCGTCATGGGAGGCTGCTTTCATGGGGGGTGGGGGGGGGGGGGCATGCGAAACAGTGTGTACCCGCAGCAGTGTGTACCTCAGTCGCTCCTGTGTCCTCAGTTGCTTTGGTATATCCTACAGTCGTCTGAGCTACGTTTGCCCCGAAGCATTGTTTTGATTTTGCCCCTTTGTTTCCTAACAATGGCCACCGCTTCAAATATATTTCGTGGAGTCGACAGGTCTTTCCAGGTAGTCGAAATTCCTTCATCAGGTAATTGTTTATTCCTATCAGTGGCGTATTTTTGGAAAAATGTCATCGATGAAACTGTTGCTCTCGAACTTCGCAAGATGGCTGTAAGCTTTGTTTGCGAACATTGGGACAACTATGGCGACGCCCTGTCCGTTGTTCTTACTCACGGGAGCACAGTCATACACTCTGCTCAACAATACGCTGCCTACATGACTACTTCCGGCGTTTATGGTGGCGAGGCTGAAATTGTGGCGATGTCTCAGATACTTCTCGCTACTATCGCTATTTACTTTCGAGAACGTCCACATGACCCTCCTCGAGTTTACAATCCGGGTCAACGTCTCTCCATATCCCTGCTATTTAGCGGTCCTTTGGATCATGGCCATTACGAAGTTCTCTTGCCTTTCACAAACACACGTGATGACCTTCTGGTGCCATCTGTTGACAACGTCGGCATGTGCACCAACATTACGCACCCATGTGATCTCCACACTGATGTGACGTCACCTGCCCACTCTCCTGTTACTGATGAACATTTACAAACGCCGGGTTTTCAATGCAACATTTGCTCAAAACAGTTCACACGAAAAAATAATCTTAAAGCACATTTAGAAACACACTCCAGTCAGCAAACGCATTCCGCAGAGGACTTTAAATGCACCATTTGTTCCAAAACCTTTCGACTAGAGAAATATCTCAAAGCACATTTAAAAACACACTCCACTGAACGAATGATGCAATGTGAATATTGCCAGCAATGCTTCAAAACAACTCGCACTCTTATGAAGCACTTACAAACTAAACATGTACATGTAGAAACACATTTAACAACATTTCTTTGCAGCATCTGCGACAAACAGTTTCTCGCACGCAAAAATCTTATCACACATTTGAAAACTCATGCCCTGACGAAATCCTTCTTTGAGTGTGTACATTGCAAACGTTCTTTCAAACAGTCGCATCTTCTCGCAATACACATGCGCATTCATCACATTCAACTTTCCGCTGCGTTTCAAGAAGACACTGCCCTTTCCATCGAAGAACATGACATTGGACTACCTACCGCACTATGTACTTCTTGCAATGCTCTTCATTGGCCATCAGAGGTAAACAAATCGGGACATTACACTAAGTGTTGTCATAGCGGCAAAGTGTCTTTGCCACCGCTATCCAAAGCTCCTGCTTTATTACAAAACCTCTTGAGTGGCAAAGATCCGCTGTCCCGACATTTCTGTGATCATATCAGGGAATACAACTCTGCTTTAGCTTTCGCATCAATGGGCGCAGACATTGCTCAACCACCTGGTCATGGACCATATGCATTCCGAATCCACGGTCAAATTTATCATCAAGTCAGTCCTTTGTACACCAATCCTAACACGACCTCTCGATACGGTCAACTATATATCTTCGATTCTGCTGAGGCTACCACTCAACGTTTGCAAAATGATTGTAACAGTACTTGCAGTAGAATGGTGTTGTTGCAACTAGACAAAATGATACGACAGGTTAACCCCTTTGCTAAATCGTATATGTAAATGCACGACATTATAACTCACAGTAACTCTGTTTCTTCTGTACGAATGGTATTCATGGAAAATCCAACCCTGGACATGAGAAGGTACAACGCACCCTCCTGCCAAACTGATGTTGCTGCTATCTTTGTAGGTAAAGACGGGGAACCTCCTGCACAACGCGATATTTGTATATATCCAAGAGGAGATGCTTGCAAGCGTATCTCTGTGCTCAATATGAACTGTGACCCCATGGTTTATCCACTGCTATTTCCTTACAAAGATCCAGGCTGGCACATACAATTCGCCCATGTTGAAGAAAAGCGAACCGCAAACAGAACCAGAGTCACACAACTCCAATTTTATGCCTACAGGCTTGCCATGAGATCTGCATTCAGCATCTTGCATTCCAGCGGCAAACTGTTCCAGCAATATGTAGTCGACGCATATGTCAGAACAGAAGGCGCGCGTTTACATTACCTACGCTCCCATCAAGAAGATTTGCGCGTAGAACAATACAGGGGACTGATTGATGCTATCGCTGCAAAAGCACAAGGCAATAACATTCACCCTGGACAGTTGATCATTCTTCCCTCTACATTTCAAGGCAGTCCACGGTACATGCAACAGAACTACCAAGACGCGATGGCGATTGTCCGCAAATGTGGCAAGCCTGACTTATTCCTAACATCCACATGCAATCCTGCTTGGCCGGAAATCTCTAACGCCATTTCCCATCATGAGCGACCAGAACACAGGCCTGATGTCGTTGCCCGCGTCTTTCATATCAAACTGCGGGAGTTCCTAACTGACATTTTGGAGAGGAATATTTTCGGCAATGTAGTCGCATACATTTTCGTTATTGAGTTCCAAAAACGAGGCTTGCCTCATTGTCATATGTTACTGACACTTGATTCACAGTGCAAAATAAGGACCAAAGATGACATAGACAAATATGTCTGCGCTGAGATTCCAAATCCCGAAATACACCCTCGACTTTTCCAAATTGTCACTAAACGTATGGTACATGGTCCGTGTGGTACGCTCAATTCTAGCTCATCTTGCATGAAAGACGGCAAGTGCACAAAAAATTTCCCAAAGGACTTCAACGCCGAGACTCAAGAAAACACACAAGGGTACCCCATATACCGCCGAAGGCAGGGCACAACTGCCATTGTTGGCAAACACGACATCGACAATCGTTGGATAGTACCTTACAACCCCTGGCTTTCTCAGAAATTCAATGCTCATATTAACGTTGAAGTGTGCGCGTCCGTTCAATGTATCAAGTATCTATATAAGTACGTCTACAAAGGACACGACGCGGCATCCCATGCACTTCAGAAGGAGCCGGCCGATGGTGTTTTCCAACATGACGAAATACAAACTTTTCTTGATGCTAGGTATGTTAGTGCTCCGGAGGCTATGTGGCGTTTGAACGAGTACAGTCTTTCAGAAAAATCGCACATTATAACACGATTACCAGTTCATTTGCCAGAACAGCAAGTCGTCTTCTTTCATGAGGGTCAGGAAGAACAAGCACTACAAAGACAGGCCAACAAAAACACCATGCTCTTAGCTTGGTTTGAACTCAATAAAACGGATCCTGAAGCTGTGGAGTTACATTACACTGATGTTCCCCAACATTACACATTCCAACAATCCTCTGGAAAATGGCAAAAGAGAATTAGAGGAGGTGCAAAGGTGATCGGTAGAATGCCTGTTGTTGCCATTCACGACACCGAACGTTATTACCTCAGGCTTCTCCTTACCCGTTCCGTAAGCATCACGAGTTTCAAGCATCTACGAACTGTCAACGGCGTGGAATGTAACACTTTCAAAGAGGCGTGCCAACTATTGGGTCTTCTTAAAGACGAGAAGATATGGCATGATACACTTATAGAGGCATCTGAGATACGAATGCCAGCGTTTTTGCGACAACTTTTTGTTTTCATCTGTGTCTTCGGCGAACCACAAAACGTTCCACACCTTTGGGACACGCATAAACTCTCCCTTTCTGAGGACTTTCTCAGAACATATTCCACACGCACCGCTTGCATGCATGCTCTAGCAGAAATAAATGACATGCTTCAACCACATGGCCTCAACCTGCACAAATTACACCTACCCCTCACTGACATTCTTCCGAAGTGTCATTCATCTTCCGCCTTTGATGCTCAGGCTGAACACTCCCACGCTATAGAACACTACGACAAACTCAACACAGAACAAAAGCACGCTGTTGACATTGTTTTGGACGCTGCATACATAGACTCCCGACCGCGACAAACCTGCTTCTTCTTAGATGGTCCGGCAGGAACAGGGAAAACCTTTGTTTATAAAACTCTGATCCATACCATCAGAGCCAGGGGAGACTTTCCTGTAACCGTTGCATCTACAGGAATAGCTGCAACATTGTTACCGGGTGGACGTACTGCCCATTCGGTATTTAAAATCCCATTGAAGCTCACTCCTACTTCCACATGCAATATCAAACCTATCTCACAACACGCGCAACATATTCTGCAATGCAAATTGATTATATGGGACGAGGCGCCAATGACACATGCATACGCATTTCAGGCAGTTGACAGGTTGTTACGTGATCTCACAGATGAGACGCACCCATTTGGAGGGAAAACAATTCTATTGGGTGGAGATTTCCGACAAATACTCCCCGTCATTCTGCGTGGCTCCCGAGCACTCACTGTCGCCAGTTGCATAAACAAGCAACTTTTGTGGCGTCACATGCATGTACTTACACTGACGACAAATATGAGAGCTCTTCCTGACGAACAGCATTTTGCAAAATGGCTTCTCGATGTTGGAGACGGGACAATTGGAACACCTGTAACATTACCGTCACATTCTTTCCCTCTTCATTCTGATCCCGTTCAATTACTATATGGCGACATCGACTTCTCAACTGTCACTTCGGAACAACTCAGTACGCGAGCTATACTAAGTGTCACGAACGAAGACTCCCTGCACCTGAATGAACAAGTATTGAAACTTATCCCAACCGACGAAGTAACTTTCACCAGCGTTGACTCCATCGTCACAGACGATCCCGCAGATGAACTTTCTTTCCCCGTAGAATTTCTTAACAGTCTTACCCCTACTGGCATGCCTCCGCATAAACTCAAAATTAAAATTGGTTCAGTTGTCATGCTTCTTAGAAACCTCATGCCAGCAAGAGGTCTCTGTAATGGCACTAGACTGACTGTTACCAGCATTCACCGCAACGTACTGGAGTGTAAGACTATCGCAGCTGCTACCTCACAAACTGTCCTTATTCCACGGATATCCCTGACTCCATCAGATTCAAATTTGCCTTTCACCTTTACGCGCAGACAATTTCCTGTCAGATTAGCCTTTGCCATGACAATTAACAAAGCACAGGGCCAAACATTCGAAAAGATATGTCTGTATCTTCCAAAACCAGTTTTCACTCATGGACAACTATATGTTGCTCTCTCCAGAGTTACTTCCTATAATTCTCTTACTTTAGTTTGCCCAAACCCACCCTTTTTGGACAACTGTGTCTATCAGGAAGTCCTGGGTCACTAAATAGCGGCGTATGTTACGCCGCGGGTCGACTAGTAGACATTATTTTATGTGTGATAGTGTAGGCTATATCCAAATTTATCAAGTTTAAAAATTTGGTTGAGTATTGAGTTATAAGTCTGATTTCATGTAGTCTATTACCATGATAATAGTTCTGCTTTGTGTAAACTTGTATCTAATAAACAGGGAGTGATCTCCCCTAAACTTTCTCGAATATTTTTATATAAAATAACTGGGGATGGGAACTCGGGCTATAGACATGATTTTTAATCCATTTTAAATACTTAAAGTTTTAAAAATAGAATAAAATCTCGTAGACAAAAGAATTGCACACCAAGTGAACACTAAATAAAAAAGTGCATAATAGTGCGCAATATTATTAGTACTTTAAAAATTTACATTAGTTTTTTGAGAAATCAGAAGTAGCGTAAATTACTACTTCCGGTCAACGGAAATGACTCAAAATTTAACAGAAAGTAGAGAATTAGATCTTTTACTTACATGTGAAATTTCGTTTATCTATCTGAAATAGCACTCAAGTTATAGGCTTTTGAAAATTTCAAAGTAGGAAAAGTATCACTTCCGGTTATCGGAAATCGCTCAAAAGTTGATACGGATCTACGATTTTGATAAAATACTTATTTATGAAATTTCATCAACCTAACTGTAACGGTACTCAAGGTATCGTGTTTACACACACACAGACAGACAGACACACAGACACACAGACACAGACATACGGATAAGATTGCAAAATTATGTTTTTCCGTATCAGTGAGATGTAAAACGTCGAAATTTGTAAAAATCTCGATTTTTTTTGCACGATTACAAGACTTTCTCTATACTTCGTATATACGAGAAAGTAAAAATACAATGTATTTAACCAACTTTTACATCACATACCTGCTCATGTAACGAACTTTCAAACACAATATATCAGCGCTCTGATAGCAAAATAATATCGTTAAAAATCAATGTCTTCATAACCTATCAACGTCCCTATTCTTTTAAGTAAGCATCGGAAATAAAGAGTTATACCCAACACAAGGACTCTTATATTTAATCGATAAAATCATATTTCAAATAGAATTATTGATCAGAAGCAAACGGTCTTGAAAAGTAAAAAAATGTGTCGATTTACAAACTGGGAACCTTTCACTACGACATTTTTTTATTACTTTTTTCTGCGATATTGATTTACCTTCATTATACATACATACATAATGTTTGGGTGTAGGTCTTTATCAAATATACAAGCAAATAGAAGTAGGTTTAAATTTCATGTAATAAAAGATATGTATATATATATATATATATATATATATATATATATATATATATATATATATATATATATATATATATACAGGCGCTACATATGAATAGATTCCTCTTTAGACCTAACGATTCATCGGACTGATGAAGTTAAGTCCAAATGCTTCTTGACCTCTGCAAATAAAAGTGATATTGTGGTCAGCTCTATGCTCTCTTTCTCTCTCCCTCTCTCTATTATATATATATATATATATATATATATATATAATTATAATAACAATATTTATAATAATAAATTATTATAATATAATAAATAATAAATATAATAATAATAATAATTATTATTATATATAATTATATATATATATATATATATATATATATATATATATATATATATATATATATATATATATATATATATACTACATATAAACTAAAATAGTATAATCAGTTTATTCTCATAAAAATGTCAATATGCCACCACAATTACTCTGCTCACTACCCAGGAGGTGTATAATTGTTTGAATTATTGATCACAGCCAGCCATAAAACTGTAAAAAAAATATCGAAAAACCAGCTGGGTGCAACGTTTGATCATTTCATCTTAGCCCTTTGTGTTGTAGGCCTATAGATTAAAAGAACTTGTCAAACTGTCAGGTAATTTGTAATTCTTTATCAGCCTTTGGAGCGTTCTAGAATAATAGAAACAAACTATTGTGCAGTTTAAGGCGTGCCGTTGTGATTAATCGCATATTCTAATTAGCAAGCATCGATCTTCTAATCACCTACAATATATTTTTGAACACTCGATACTTGTGCACAGTATATTTTTTCTTACAGGATAGTTGCTAGTCGTAGAGCATTTTAGGGAACAAAACTGGAAAATGTTGAAGAAAATTCAGTGCAACTTTCACATTGTGCTGCACCTAATAATTTTTTGCCATCTTCTGGGAATACGTAAGTTTAAAAAAACTATTTTTGTGTTTATTGGAGTCATGTGTATTTAAGTATATTCAAATATAATGTAATGGCATAATAATACTGATTAAGAGAAAAAAACTAATGAATTATCTTATTAGTTGGATCCTAAAAATATTTTCAGTTATACCAAGTCAATTCTAAACAGGATCTGACTAAATTATATGGGCGTTCACGTCTGAATGTTATACGAAGAATATCTAAATGTGTTAAGGTGATTTGATAAAATGTTATAGGCGGTTATGGCAGAATATTATACATATCTTGGTTGATATTATTCAGATGTTGATTGAAAGTTAAATTTGCGCCGTAGATTGATTATAGCAAAATCAGTCTTGATATAGATTTTACACAGCACACTACATAACGCTTCGATTTTAAAAACCAAAAATATTTCAAAACATATGTCATTTCTTTTTCTTTTTTTCCCCACACGCAATTACTAATTTGTATCTTTATAATAAAAAAAATAAATAAGCAACCGTGAAATTGTGTATGATCTTTATCAAACTAAATGTATCGTCATACACAAAACAGATTATAGAATGTATTAAGAAATTGTATCGTCATACACAAAACATATTATGTAATTTATTACGAAATAATCAAAATAATCCTAGTCTTGTATGTGAACAATTAAACTAATATCTATGCAAATATGTCTACATGTTTAACATATCAGATGAAGTCAACACAGCAGAAGTCAGAGTGGGGTCGTTCATTAACGCGAACAGCAGCTGGACGATACTACCCTTGGGAGTGGAGCCACCCGCCTTGAACGTGCTGTCGTGTGCTACCAGTTGTCTGTCGTATGGACCACTCTGTAGAAGTTTTGCATTTGGTGCTCAAAGGAAACAATGCCGACTAGGTAAGTGATGTTTGATGCTATTTATGGTATATATACTGTTTATACATATGCATGTATATTGTTACGTCACCTGTACTCTTTCCTTTCGATATAGACCGGGGGTTCGCAAACAAGAACAATGTATATATATATATATATATATATATATATATATATATATATATATATATATATATATATATATATATATATATATATATATATATATGTGTAGAGAGAGAGAGAGAGAGAAACTATAACAAATATTGAAATGTGTTACTAACACAAATACTGCAATAACGTTCGCAGTATTATTGTGTGACAATAAGACTTGGCCTAGTGGTAGTATGCAAGAATGCTATCTTAAGCTTCCAACTGTCATATACAGGAGAGGAGTCAGCATCACGACCACGAGTCCACCCATACAAGACTGGTATTTGTAGAAGCTAAGCGCGTCTGGACTTGGAACATATCCCTGACATGCGAAGGTCACATAAACATGACAACTGTCACCCACAACACTGTACAGTTTGAAAACGCATTTCAATTTTTCCTAGATTAATTAATTACACATCTTTTATTTAGGATCGTGGTTAGTTTTGGCATCAACTACTACCATCAACCCTGACGAAGTAACATACACGATGGGTGACTTCTGCAACACGGCATTAAACTTTACCGTGGTGTACAATGGCAACTTCAGTATCTGCTTATGGGTCAACAGAGCGACCCTGACGTATGCTAATGCTAAGCTTCAGTGTGAAAGTAGGTTTTAGGGAAAAACACTTTACATTTTAAAGAGCAGTGGTTCTTAACCTTTTAGCCCCATCAGTTTCCGATGCGCATTTATCGAACCCTTCACAATAATTTGTCACACCGACAAAAATTATAATCTTACTAATGAGTAAAGTGAGTGTCTTGATCCTCGACGAACCAGTGAAACTGATTTACCAAACCCTAGGGTTCAGGAAAACTATAGAACTATTTAAATTATCTGGAACATGTTTTGTAGCTATGCAATGCAAAATAATCCAAAACTTAATATTAGCCAATATAAAAATTTAAAATAATAGAGTTTTTTATCTAACATACAGAAAAAAATATGAGTATTTACTGAAATATATAAAACTACATACTTGTTAAATAGTCGAATACAAACTTAGGTTCTTTGTTAATATATAGCTTGTATATTGTTAGACAATCTTCGCAAATTTCAATAACAAAATCTGATATACAAGCCTATACAAATACTATTTTTGCTTGTTCAGATCGAGGCGGCCATATGTATACTCCAAAGACTCGAGACCGTTACGACATAATCCAACAGTTTTTCACCGACACTAATGTTTGGATTGGTCTCAGTGACGCCGCACAAAATGGCGTGTACAGGTGGGAAGACGATCAGAGTGTTATCAATGCCGATTGGAAGATCCAAATATTTACTAGTGAGATGCATGTTTTAAATGTTTCCCTTATACTTTAAATGTATTTATAATATATATATATATATATATATATATATATATATATATATATATATATATATATATATATATATTAAGCATATAAAGTAGGTTGCATATCAAGAGATAGTTTTGTCAAACGTTTTAAATTTCTCTTAGACCAAATAAGTACCAATCTGAGTTGGGTGGATCAGAGGCGTAGCGACCCTTCACAGCGCCCGGGGCAAACTTTCGATTTATATATATATATATATATATATATATATATATATATATATATATATATATATATATATATATAATCTACTTATATTTAATTTCTGTGTTGAACTTTTTTTAGATTACCCACCCTATCCAGCTCTGTCTTGTATTGTCTACACAACAGACAAGCTTCTAATGGAGTTTAACTGTAACGCGATACCGTACCCATCTCTTTGTGAGTTTGGTCTGAGCAATTAAATGTGAGTGAAGAATGCAATTCTTCCATCTGGCAAACATCCCAAACTAAAGAAGTATGCAATCATTTGCTGTGACGAGAGAACAATGTATCAACAAGTTGTTTCAAGACACTTTTAACGTATCCATTTTTTTTAGAAGTTTCCAGAACTGTTTCTTTCAAATTTTAACGAATGCGAACGTGTATATTGATTTCGTATACTTATAATGATTGATTTGTGTAATACAAAAGTAATGTTGATCATAATAATATGTATTTTGTACACAGGGCGGAACGTTTTTTTAGATAGTAAAATATAGTTTAGAACAGTGGGGAAATTATTAAATAAATCATTGTAAAATAATTAAAGGTTTTTGTTTTATATTAATAAATTATCTTGATTTCGATTTGTTGCACGATTACGACACTTCTTTAACACTTCTTATAAAAGATTTTTACAGTCCTATCCCCTTCTCTATTCGCTATGGGCCCAAAACTTACGAGCTAACAAAGTAATTATTCCCCATTGGATTAGCAACCCTGGTCACTGGTCACTTTGCCGTGTCATAGTTATATGTCTCTTTGAATCGACGTACCATATAATAATATACATTAGCTACGGTAGTTTCCCAGGATATTCTCAATGAATTGTACACGCTATAATAGCACTAATAAAGACATTGTGTTTTTAATTCAAAGAGAATAAACTCCTTGATTATTTTTTACTTTAAAAAAATAAAAATCAATAATTAAACGCAGCCCTTTTATGTCCCATATAACATCGCGTCCCCTGCTGTGATGAAACGATTATGTTATGCGTTTTACAGTTAGCGCACAGCGTGATCAAATGTTAATCAAACAATTCGTGAAATTACATAAATCTCCTTCAAGTCTGAAGTAAAGCTATAATGATTTTGAGTGCGGTTTGGTTTTCGAGTTTGATTTGCGTTAATGTGTCTGAATATGTATATTATGAATGTCGACCTGATTGTATTATTCTTAATTCAAGGTGAAATAATATTAATACTTACTTCATTACCAACAGAGTAGATACAAGGGCACTACAGTTGCAGTTTCAGTTCAACCTCTACTCAGACAACAAGATACAGATTTTACTCCTAGAAATGGAATTATGGTATTCAAAATGCAATTATGCAAAACAAGCTAATTATTCTTGCGACATCTTTGCATTCTTTTGCATAACAAAATAATCATCATGCTGTAGTAGTGTAGGGTTAAGTATAAAATTACTAACTAAATGTAGAAATAACTCTATTTCTAATTGCAGATCAGCTTATTTGTATTTGAATCAAAATAAATCAAGGGATTTTAAGTAGTAAATATTTAGTTTAAGTTGTCTTAAATAAATAAAATATCAAACCAGAAACCTTCCGTGCATGACATCATTCCTGCTGAAATATTAAAGCGGATTTTAATATTTTTGTCTTGATCCTGTGTATGGTTACTGCTACGAAAAAAATCATTTTCTTTTGTATACTGTTAAGAACAAGAAAAAATATGCTTTGGGTTTTTAGATGGATTAGTTCAACCTGGTGTCGGATTTAATATGATTATAACTAAAATCAATGGTTTTAATTGCATGTTATTATTGATGTGAATTCTGATCGACATGAATACAATATAACATTGCAAAAAGTACGTGGTGTGCAGTTTGTTGCACTGGTTAAGGTTTTACTCTCATATATTACTTTAGAGCTGAAAACAGAGTTATCCAGTGCGTGTGTGATATGCGTGTGTAGGCGTGTGTATGCGTGTATATGCGTGTGTAGGCGAAAGCGTACGTGTACGTGTACGTGTACGTTTACGTTTACGTGTACGTGTTTGGTGTAGGTGTTTGGTGTAGGTGTTTGCTGTAGGTGTTTGGTGTAGGTGTTTGGTGTAGGCGCTTGGTGTAGGTATTTGGTGTAGATGTTTGCTGTAGGTGTTTGGTGTAAGTGTTTGGTGTAGGTTTTTGGTGAAGGTGTTTGGTGTAGGTGTTTGGTGTAGGTGTAGGTGTAGGTGTAGGTGTAGGTGTAGGTGTAGGTGTTTGGTGTAGGTGTTTGGTGTAAGTGTTTAGTGTAGGTGTTTGGTGAAGGTGTTTGGTGTAGGTGTTTGGTGTAGGTGTAGGTGTAGGTGTAGGTGTAGGTGTAGGTGTAGGTGTAGGTGTAGGTGTAGGTGTAGGTGTAGGTGTAGGTGTAGGTGTAGGTGTAGGTGTAGGTGTAGGTGTAGGTGTTTGGTGTAGGTGTTTGGTGTAGGTGTTTGGTGTAGGTGTAGGTGTAAGTGTGTGTGTAGGCGTACGCGTAGGTGTAGGCGTACGCGTAGGTGTAGGTGTACGTGTAGGTGTAGGTGTAGGTGTATGTGTGCAAATGTGTTTAGGCCTATATATGTGTATGTACAAGTGTATGTGCATGTGCATGTGCATCCGTGTGTATATGTTTCTGGATGGTGTGAAAGGTGGTGTTAGCGAACCCGAAAAAGCTATTATGCTGCTGTGATTTAAGCAAACGTTGTAAAACCATAGACTTACACACTTGTGGAATAATGAAACTTAGTATTTTATGTACATTCATATTATTTGTCCCCTTAGTGTAGCTAGCTGCAAATCCTTTTTTAAGTAATTGAAATGACTAAATAACGACAGGGTTATATGAAGGGGACTAATTGCTGCAATAGGATACCAAATTTGATTTTATATGTCTCTTTAAATTTTATTTAAATAAAACTAGACATTTGGCTATATTAAATGATTTAATTCAAACGTCATAGCAATCGTAAAAAAAAAAGAAACTGGCTGAGAAAAAAAAATCCCTAATTCCTAGGTAAACTATATCATAAAGACAGATTAGTACAGTACTACATATATGAGCTTTTTGACTTATTGGAAGCATGTCTGTTAAGAGATAATCTTTGGGTTTCGTTAGATAACTGACCATACCTCGCGCGAAACAAACAGCAACGTTATCAAGAATCAAGAATTTCACACAGCTACAAAGACAGAAGCAAGACACTTGGGTTTCTGCCCGATTTTTGCCTCCAGTTTAAAACACACATTGCAAACCGGGTTTTGAACGTGAGGTACAGCTTGGTCGTGGGATGACCTACGATCACCAGACCGGGTACCGAACTATCAGTTTAGTAAGCGGGCGTACTACATACTAGACCACACTGTCCAGTTTTGACAACATTTAACAAAAGCTTGAGGACACGGGGTCTGTAGAAAACGTCTGGCAATAATGAGGATAAGTTATATATTGGGGAGGGGATTGTATGTAAAAAAGAGTGACTTTATTTGTGGACGGTGAAGGGCAGATTCGATTCCGTACCACGTTTAGAAAAGCAAAAGGTACCCCAGGTTTACATGGTAAACTTATCAACTTCATTCTTAAATGTAGTATTCGAAAAGATCGAACACACTAACTTAACAAAAGCAACTCAATTAGCACCCGACTCAAAGGTCTTTAACTCAGAAAGACTCCCTCTCCTCATACAATCGTTATCTGAGTGTGAGTGGGTATCAAGCAAATAAATATAGGCCTCTGTTTACAAGGGTATGTTTTATTCTTTAGCAAGATAAACAAATAGGATATGAAATCAACGAAGACTCTAAGTGTCCACATTCAGCTTGTTACAATAGAATAAACACACTCGTAAATTCTGTGTTTTAAACTAATACTTCTTCTATTAATAAGATTTGGATCCAGCATAGTCTACTTAGTGAATTTAATTAACCACTGTTCAATTAATAATTTCCACCTTTGGTTTATAATGTTTAAGACAGCTTAGATACATCTTTATTTTACTTTTTAAATAGACCTACTGACCTAATAAAAAGAAAGGTAGTATCAATACTTGGGTATATTTTGTTAGTCGGAATTTACAGATTGTGAACGTCTGAAGTTGAAAGTAAAAATATTTGTGAAAATACCATTAAAAATGTACCGACTCCCACTAAATTCAAATTAAGTCTGAATTTTGTTTCTTATTTTCATGTATCTAAATACCAACGGATATAGCGACAAAACATTAGCGATACCGCTTTCCTCGATGTTTAGATTTAAGCCTCTACTATAATGCATTACGAAAAAGATGATTTTCGTAGTTAAATAAATTAAACTGAAAATCGTATAGTCTTACTCAAATCGAACCTAGTGTCATTATTTTTAGTTTTAAATCATTCTATTTATAACTTAATTTCAACTTTGTGTTGAGTTATCGTATGCCTAATTCAATCAATAGTAGCACGTAGTACAGGCCACATCATGTTAGCTAAATTCATACAAATGTTTTACTATTTTAAAAAAGTTAATTTATTATCTTTGAGTCTACTCATTTACTAGCTTAATTATTAACATTCTTTGAGAAAAATTGTATTAAAATCGGTGACATAATTCCAATAAAACGAAATAAAATGAAAATGCGGTATCGATACCACTAATATGGTAACCTACCTAGTTTGTGAGACATTTTGCATAGTCTGCTAAACGGATAAACCTAAAATAAATATGCTAGTTAGAAAGTTTAATAAATAAGGAATATAATCCCATAAAAAAAGAGTTAACCTCAATGTTTTATTATTTTAAGTACATTTTTAAAAACGCACCTTTTAAACTTAATATGAGATTAACAAAAACAAGGAAAACAATGAAATGAAAATTAAACGGCGGTAAAGGTCAATAACCGCAGCTAATAAGGAGGGCATATATGATTGGGATCATAATCGCGTTCTATCGATTTTTAAACGGTTAACAAAGCAATGCGAACGAATACATTTGAATTAGATTTTTTTGCTCGCGAAAGATTTAGAGCCTGTGACGTCATATTTTATTTACTTGTGCAACTAGCAACATTAGTGTATGCATTTTGGCATAATATGTGAGTTTAAATACGACAGCACAATATTCTTCTTCTTCGTTCTTAATTTTTAGTGTTGTGAGGAATCGAGCCTTATCTGCCAGAGGGTTTGAACTCGAGACTTTTTTCGAATTTATCAACCATGAGCTTTGCCGACTCGACATCACAATTAAGGATTACGTGTCAACTGGTTATGCGCCATTGAGGCCATTGACTCCGATTTCAGCCTGCTTTTCTTTTTTGGATTTGCTTCCATAGCCTTTGTCCAATACTGCACAATACTTAATCTCAAGGATTCTCAACTCATAACTGGAGTACCAACTTTAAAATTGGTGTTTTGAAAAGGAAATAATATTTATTTAGTCCTTAAAAAATGAAAAAACAAAATGGTGTATTGCCTTATATCTGCTGTGTATAAAATCTTTGAATAAGAAAACTGCTGGATGTTTCAGTAACTAATTTTTAGCTGCATGGCGAGGATGGTGAAAGCCAGGGGTCTCCAAACTTTTCAGACCGAGGGCCGCATTAACTATCAAATTTCAGTTCGGGGGCCAGTTTCTTCCAGGCATGTCTTTGATTTTTCTGGGCAAAGTTCCTCAGCCATCACCAACAAACTTTTTTTCCATGGACAAAAGGATATCCGCGGGCCGGATGAGAAGACCTCGCGGGCCGGATGCGGCCCACGGGCCGTAGTTTGGAGACCCCTGGTGTAAGCAAACCGTTACATCATTTATTTCATACGTCATGGGATATGTCCATTACTCGCCTTGTCACGAAAACAGACATATTGCTATTGTAACATACTGTACTTTTAATAATGTATTATTTGAGTAAGCTTGGTGTGGCAATAGAATGCCTGGCTAATGCTATTTACTTTCTCGTATACGAAGTATAGAGAAAGTATTGAAATCATGCAAAAATCAAAATGGAGATTTTCACAAATCTCGACATTTTATTCCACCCTGAGTCGGAACACATAGTTTTGCAATTGTGTCCGTATGTCTCTTTGTGTATGTATATATGTGTGCATGTGCTTATGTGTGTATGTTTGTATGTCTGTGGACACGATAACGCGAGTACTACTACAGCTCGGTTGATGAAATGTCATATATAAGTATCACATTTGTAGTTATGTGTTAACTTTTCAGAGATTTCCGGTTACCAGAATGAAAACTTATTCTACTTTTGGTTTTTCAAAAGCCCATAACTTGAGCACTGTTTCCGATAGATAAACAAATTTCACATATAAGTAAAATATCTAATTCTCTGCCTTCTGTTAAATGCTGATTAATTTCCGATGACCGGAAGTAGTACTGTACGCAATATTTGATTTCTTAAAAAACGCATATAGATTTTATAAAGTACTAATATTCCGAACTATTATACATATATTGTTTGCTGCTCACTTGATGCGAAATTCTTTTTTCTACGAGATTCTATTCTATTTTAAAAAGTTTAAGTAATTAAAAATTGATTAAAAAACTTGTCTCTATTCCGAGTTGCCATCCATTTACTTTTGTCAGAATTATTACAAAGTGGCCGGCCATCACATATCATTAAGAGGAAAGTTAACAAAAAACTAAAACTTATCTGGCATCGGGAGGTTAATGTTAATTAGTAACGCTCGTAGCACATTTCAAAGGAAAAACATATACGTTCATGGATTTAAAAAATAAACTTATAGAAGATAATTTATTGCAAATATCACATTTCGAATGAATGTTATCACTGGCGACCGCTGTTTTATAAATTCTACCTATGCGGTCTCGTATTTTCAACTCTGGATAAAAAATATGCCTATTTATCTTAAAAAAACCCCATTGAGAACCACTGCAGCCTACATATCTGAAATTTAATAACGTAGAGATGTATATGAGCTCAGAAAAGTAAAAGAGAAAGTTTTTTTTAATCTCATTAGCATAAAACATATACAAATTATATGCGGCTTAAACTTTAAACGAGTGTGCGTGTTGCTATCAGTTTTTACTTATTTGTTCTTTTGATAGATTATCAATAAATCAATACAGGGGCGAATGTATATCAATAATGAGGTAGGGGTACATAAGATATGATTTAACCTAATTCATTATATTTTCAACAGATAAGATACGCCTCTGATATATTTGCATATTCATTTAAATAATTTTTGCATTGCAAATGGCAGTTGTTCAAGTTTAGATCGTTTAAAAGACATTGTTTTCAGTACGAGACTTGTTAAGTTTGATGCAAACTCTTGAAATTAGATTTCGTTGGGTTTCAACAATTTTTAACTTCAAATTTGTCGTAAAACGCTGCATAGGTAACTATTGTATGATTTATTTGTATTTTTATATTAATCGGATCTGATTTATATTCTAATTCTTGATTTTGTTTTTAGATTTAACTGAACGTTTTTCAACGATATTTTTGTTAAAAAAAAAACAAGTTGTCTATTAAGTCACATTATGTTAATATAGTGTTAATAAAATAATACATTTTAAGGTCTATAGAATCTAAATGATTTAATATGTATGCTTAAGAATAGAATGCATGTTTATTAAACTGTAATAATATATTTAAAAATTATAGAATATAGTAGCCATCATTAATGCTTAAAATGTATACTAGACGCAGTCATAGCACAGTGATTAGGCTCATTAACGTATTAGATGTATCATAATGTATCTACACTAGGGCAGAGGAGGCGTAGCGGGGGGGGGGGGGGGTGCGGAACGCACCGGGTGACACCATTTAGGTGGGTGATACCAAGGCAAAAAATAGCAAATATATAGAGAAAAATTTGAGGGGGGGGGGGGGGGGGGTGTGGGTGCAAATCGAAAGTTTGAGGGGGTGCAAATCGAAAGTTTGAGGTGGGGGGGGGGGGGTGCAAATCGAAAGTTTGAGGGAGGGGGTGTAAATCGAAAATTGAAAGTTTGTCCGCGGGAAGGGTCGCTTCACCTCTGGGGGGGGGGGGGGGGGGTGACACCATTAAGTGCCGCACCGGGTGACACCCGACCTCGCTACGCTACTGCACTAGGGTTTACTCAAAGGCTTTCAAAACAGACATACTAAACTAAGGCAAGTTTAAGTGCTTTAATTATACAATTATTATATTGAACAGGTGGTCACATTTTTGTATTTTCTACCACACAGGAATAAAGATAAAACAGCTCTTACCATGAGTTCCAACACTTTGATAGGCCTAATGTTGCTTGCCTTCTCGATATTTATTGCAAGCGAAGGTTTGTTGTTCTATATTAAAAACAAATTAACTTGCTATTAGGTAATTGAATAAGGTCGTTGGTTGGATTTGTATTCAATTACAATTTGTCAAAGGTATACATTTTAAACTGTTTAATTTTGTCTAAGTCACCTATTTGAATGTGGAATAATAATTAATACTGACCAATAATTAATAAAATATTAACGCTTATGTATTTCAGTAACTGCAGCACCATCTCATCCAATCAAAGCCTCTGAACCATGCACTGAGATGCTAGACATCGTCCTTGTACTAGACTATTCCACCAGTATAGGGCCAGTGAATTGGAATTACGTAACACAGTTATCCGCAAACATCACCCAGTATTTTGATGTTGGTCCTGATAAAGCCAGGTTCGCTACGATGACCTTTAATCGAGAACCTACCGTCCAGTTTAACCTAAAAGATCACTTGGATCATGATTCTTTGACACGGGTATGAAGTATATTTAAATATAATTAAAAGCAACAATATTTAAAAAGAATAATATGCAAACATGTATAATCTAACTGTTGTTTGTTCTTTAGCACTGTCTAGAAATGCATCAAAGTGCATATAGTGTTGCTTTGTTTTTCAATTTCAAAGTATGTTGCGCATTTATTATCAGACTTGAAACAGAGTAAGTTAAATTTCGGTAGAAGTTGTAGGTCGACTTAGTCAGGTCAGAGGCGTAGCGATCCGTTACGGTGCCGGGGGCGAAATATAAGTTTTGCACCCCCCCCCCCCCACCATTTATACATAAATATTTACGTTGTTGGAAAAACGCCCCCCCCCCCCTCCCCCTTTGACTTGGAAAGATCGGGGCACTTTTTACCAGTTACTTTTAATTTACTGTGTCACACATTCGATGTAAAAAAAAAAGTCCGTAAAGCTTAGTTAGCAGTCTAATTTCTTAACCTAAACTGTGAGTAATTCAGTAATATTACTTGGAATGAGCTTTTAATATTTTATGGTCGGCGGCCGGGGCGGCCGCCCCACCCGCCCTCCCATCGCTACGCCTCTGGGTCAAGTAGGTAAAGCTCACTGTTACTAAGAAAAATCTCGGGCAGATGAGGTTCAATAGCCGGAGACGTCTAAGAAAGGCATCAGTTGTTTTCTTGTATTGACCAAAGCAATGGAAGTTAATCCAAAACGAAAAGCAAGCTGCAATAGGAGTCAACTTATTTGTGATGCGAGAAAACACCGTCCAACATTACAATAAAGTACAATTATTGCTATGGTAAACAACATTATTTAAATTAATGTATAAACATCTATATAAGTAAAGTAAAGCCCAATTTCAAATTTGAAGGACCATGTTACAAGTGAAGTAGAATTAACCTGTTTGAGTGACATCATCATATGAAGTGATAGTAAGGTCAGCAATATGCCAAGCCGCCTTTACTTTCCCTAAATTTCCATCACAGCTGGGTGGACACAGGAACACGGATTCGAACTTGAGACATTCAGCGGTCTAGCGCTTTACCACCAGGCAACGCGTCCACAACTATGTCGTAAAACAGAACATTTTTTTCCTTTCTCTAGGCTTTACTTGCCATAGCATACCCAGGTGTTTACGGAACCAAGACCTACTTAGCCCTGCAGGATATCATCAACAAAAACATGTTTGGTGCTCCGGTTGGTGGTAGAGACTATGCCCTGAATATTGTAATCGTCATTACCGACGGAGAATCTGACGAACCACTACGAAGTTAGTCAAACCTATAATTTATTTTTAATATTTTTATTTTCTTCCTAAAAGCTAATATTCCATTAACAACCCATTAACGTAAAATTTGATTTAACAATTATAGACTAGAAAATACCTAAAAGATAAAATGTATGAATATTCTAGCATTTTCTGAAACTAACGTGTTTTTTTTTTTAGACAAAGAACTAATTTAGACATATATTTTAGCATTGGAGGCAGCAGCTCAGGTAAAAGAGGCAGGAGTTAGTATCATAACTGTAGGGGTAGGCTCTAACCAATCAAACAATGAGTTGAAAGGGATAGCTAGCGCTCCGGAATACGCGTTAAAATCTAGCAACAGCGACTTCCGAGAGAAAATAATAAACTCCATTGTAAAGAAAAGTTGTCAGAGTAAGTTCGTATTTGACTTTCTTAGCAAGTTGCCTAATTTATCTAAGGCTTTGTAGGCCTACACTTTTTAATTAAATTATTTAATATGTTGATTTTATTATACACAGATAAAATATACGTTTTTCGTTTAATATTTCTAATATTTTATATAACCTTGGATTTTTTGTTTTCTCTAGCTGTAAAGATCCGTAATTAGAAGGATGCTCCAGCACAGAATGAAAGAAAAAAACTAACTATAATTTCTCTTAAAGACAATATTTTCATTGTGATTCAATTGATAATTATTCTTTTAATTTGTATTTTTAACAAATGGAAAAGGACAAAGGGCTTAAATCGGACAACAAATTCAGAAGAAGAAAAAATAATTATAAAACAATCGTTTTCACACACGTTGAAAATTTTTGTGATTTTAAAATAAATAAAAGAGATGTGGTAAATGATGCACGTTTTTACTTGTTCTATTAAAAATATGAAAATTAAAAGTAAAAAGTACTTCATGTTATAAAATAGAAATGTATCTTATGCAACAGAAATGTATCTTAAACTTACAGGTGAATGATGCAAATATGCATTTCTAATTTCCCCTAAACAGAGCATATAGGACGTATTTTAATCTTCCTATAATCGCAAGTGTTACTTACTTAAATCAAGCCAATCAAAAGAAATTGTAATTCTATTTCTGCTTTGAACAAAATCTTTCTTCATGCTGTTTGTCTTCATGTATTATAAACCATCCAATGTGAGCACAAGATATATTGTTCTATTGTTCGTGTAACCTATTTTTTACCCTTTATCTACTGACGGTACTTATAAGTGCCACTTTAATTAAGTGCCTGTATTATTTTTAATTTATTACGAATTTTAAAATTATTGAAGTCATTAATAGTATTATCTCCCCTGAGTCGCCAGTAGTCGGAGGTATCAATGTTTTTTTAAATTAATGGTGTGGCACCATTTTCAATGTCTTGCTATATCGGTAGTTCACAATTTTTCTGTACATTTCTCACACACGTTCTTGATTTCCCTTTGTTTAACCTTATTTTTCAAGTTTTCAACCCCAAATATTTTTTATTGGCACCTTCAATAGTCAGGCAAACACGTTTAACTTCTAGTTATAAAATTTTAATCAAATTGTCTTTGTATTAGATCGATGTTTACAAGTGGACTTATAAGTACCGTCAGGGCACACGGTCATTTTTTTAGGATTTTTAGAAAATGGCAGATTTGTTAGGTGGGGTTACATAAATATTGTCTTGATAATTAATTATCGAAATGTACTCAAAAAATGATATTTACACATTTATAAGAAGTTTAGCATATGGTTTACCTAAGAAATATTGTAATTACATGTTAATTTCTAGTAGTAAAAAAATAACAAGAATAAAGGTATCAGTTACAGGTTCGTTTACAAGGTTTAGTATACTTCATTTGCATACCAAAGCCTAGTTCTAGTTGTAAGATTTAATTTATTAGTTATATTTACTGCAATAAACTGTCTTGCCTACAACAACCAGCATTTACGTAATGTATACCTGTAGACTAGTAATAGTCCATACTTCTGCATATAGTATAGATCTATAAGGTAAATTTTAATCAGTAAACAGAAAAGAGTAATCCACTACGGCTATCCTAAACACATTGAGCTCACTTCTATTTATGAACTTGGCACTGTAGTGTAGACTTGTCATTACATTCTAGTAGGCTACAATTATACTAGTATTACTAGTAGTTGTGTGCTGAATGACTAGGCTTTTGTTTGTTTATGCGGCTCATTGTACTAGTTATTGGAAGCTTTCAGCAAATGCATGTTCATTCCGGCAACCATTGCTACACCAGAAAGACTACAGACAAGATTGAGGGAGCATGAAATGTCGACTACTTTTGCTGTGTTTGAGGTCTGAGATGTGTTCCGATAGAAAATCCAGTCAAAATCGTACTCAAAATATACTTTTGTGCTGTATTTATGTGTGAAAATTACAAAAATTGATTGTTATAATGATTGCCATGTTATTAGTTAATAAATCGTATCGTTTGTTCCTGTTTTGTAAAAAAAAATTTTTTGAAAAAAAAATGTCCTAGATTACTGACGGTACTTATAAGTACCAATATCTGTTTGGGCCATTAAAACTTTATGAAACGAAATTTCCTTCGACATATGCTTTGAATGTGCCAAAAGCAATATAGTAACACATTGTTTAAGTAAAAATCTCATTCAGAACATAATTCCGTAAATAAAGGGTTTTAAAGAACCTTAGTTAGCTGAAGTCAGTGTAAGATTTAAAAAAAATGGTCTGAACATAACAAGAAAACCAACACGAAGGGTACTTAAATAATGAGATGCTTCAAAATGTATTCCCCAACAACTTTATTCTGTTGGGGCTTCTAACCCTAAGCCTTAATTTACATTTTGTTTAATAGCTAAAAAAAAATAATTGGAAAAATAGATACACATAAAGACAAAAACAACGTGGAAAAGTTAGTTTTAACCGAAAGAAAATTCGCTTCAAGTTTCGTTTTCACAGGCACTCATAAAGACGAAAACAGGATGAATACAGTTAGTTTTGACCGAAAGAAAATTCGTTTCAAGGTTTGTATTCACAGGCACACATAAAGACAAAAACATGATGGATAAAGTTAGTTTTAACCGGAAGAAAATTCGCTTCAAGGTTTGTATTTATAGGCACACATAAAGACAAAAACATGATGGATAAAGTTAGTTTTGACTGAAGGTTTGTACATATGCTGTAAAACAAACCATGCATCAATAATTAACAACTTAATGTTTTAAGCCCCCCCCCCCCCCCCCCTCCCACGCGGTGTTATAACACAATTGAATTTTTTCAGTTACTGTTTTCGCACTGTAAAGTTAAATCTTCTTTTGAAACAATCAGTACATTTAAATTCATTTTCATCTTTGAAAAAAAAAATCTTCTTTTTACAGAAACCAATCTTTTGTTCGCGTTTTACAATGTGTTGGATGAATAAGTAAAGTTCGTGTTAAAACATCCAACCCGAATGTTAAAAAACAACAACAATAATTTGTGGTTTTGTTCGCTCTGCTTAATGCAATATATTTTATGAAACTTGTGTAAGCTTACAAGATTACAGGGTACGATTTTAAAAAGTAGGCTTGAACAAAAAAACTTAAAGGTGGGTACTAGTATCGTGGAAGCTTTTAGAGTCATTCTGTTACTGGTGGTAACCCATTGGTTCATATAGGGCCTAGCCTACTTCAGAGGCATGGCGACCCTTCCCGGCGCCCGGGGACAAACTTTCAATTTGGCGCCCCCCTTGAGAGCAAATTTTCAATTTACATCAACCCCCTCAAACATTCGGTTTGCAACCCCCCCCCCCCTCAACTTTTTGATTTGCAACCCCCCTCCCCTCAAACGGCTAAAATACAGCTAAAATCACATTTTAATTTGTTTTTACAACCCATTTTGGCGCCCCCTAAGGTCCCCCTGCCCCCCCCCACCCCCCAATCGCTACGCCTCTGGCCTACTTAGTTTGTGGACATTTTGCATCTGTGACAGGACATTTTGTATTGCCTGTTATGTAAACCTGTCACAGCACTGGTGAACATTACTTGTGATATATAAAGCTCACTAGACCGGAACACTGTGTGATATTTACCTCTGTAAAGTATAGCCCAGATGATTATAGATAGCCTGCCGGTTTTACTCCTACCCCCCCCCCCCCTCACCATTCCTCATATTGCGTATTAAGCTACGAATTGGTCTCTAGAATCTACACTAACTACAGCATTAAAAAAAAAAAACGTGTTAAACGTGGGTAGGGTTTAAATTATTTTGTAACCTGACCTTAGTATTGAATCACTATAATTATAGCTAACGTTTGTTTAAGCTAATGCGTCTTAATTGTATCCCTGCATGGGGTAATCTCCTCCAATTTTATGGTCTAGTAGATTTTAATCACAACTGATGGGTGGTCGACTGTAGTGCCAGTTTGCAACCTATAAAATGCCACATAAGCTGGGGAATTTCTGTACTTTGATTTCAAACAGAAGTCTATGTACAACACTTGAATCTAATTTCTCTTTCGAAACTGGTAAATTTTCCAACATTTTTCTTGATCATGAGATAACATAATGTTTTTTTATTTTAGTTTATCGATTCCTAACTTAATATAAAATTATGATTTTGTTTTCATAAATATTTTGATTTTATTGTATTTAATTATTTAAAATACTTGGTCTTATATTTTGATGGATGTTTTTTTTTTTGAAATTCAGAATTACTTAACTTTTCCATATACGATTTTAGATGTTTTTTCGGGGTCGGCGTGGTCGAGTCGGTAAAGCTCATGGTTGCTAAACCGAAAAGTCTCGAGTTCGAACCATCGGGCACATGAGGCTCGTTAACTGGGGACAGCCACTCTTCTAGGAGAGAAAACTCCAAAATTAAAACAACTGCTGCCTTGTAGTTTGTTCTTGGTTGGACAAAGGCTATGGAAGCAAATCCAAAAAGAAAAGCAGGCTAAAATCGGAGTCAATGGCCTCAATGGCGCATAACCAGTTGACACGTAACGCTTAATTGTGTTGGAGGCGTGGTCGAGTCGGCAAAAAGCTCATGGTTGATAAATTCGAACAAAGTCTCGAGTTCAAACACACTGGCAGATAAATCTCGATCCCCTTCAACACTAATAATTAAGAACGAAGAAGAAGAGATGTTTTTTATTATTATGTTTAACTATTAAACTTGCTATATCATTATCACTAATTATGCGATTATAACATACGTACTTTAAAATACACGATTGGCAACGAAATTGATAAGTTCATCATATAATTCTTCTTAGATCGCAGTGACGTGCAAAATGTAAGTTAGTAATATGCTGCAAGAGATGTATCACAACTCAGAGGCGTAGCGAGGGGGGGGGGGTGACACCAAGGCAAAAAATAGGAAAATATATAAAGAAAAATGTGACGGGGGGGGTGCAAAACGAAAGTTTGAGGGGGGGGGTGCAAATCGAAAGTTTGTCCCAGGGAAGGGTCGCTACACCTCTGGGGGGTGGGTGACACCATTAAGTGCCGCACCGGGTGACACCCGACCTCGCTACGCTACTGTCACAACTTATATTTTTTAAATGCATGTGTTTTATACCTTTAGAAAATAGAATTTCAAGCTGGTCCAAAAATGACTTTATCAACTTTGATTGCCTTAATAGTTACGGCAACGTTAATATCATGTGAAGGTACGTTTCTCAATTTATAAAATAACCATATTATTTTAAGAATCAATTCAATTATATAATACATCTAGTCACAAAAGCACGTTAAGCATGACTGTACATTTAGATTTATACTAGACTTACCCGGTCATCCCTTGGATAACTGTGGGTTTCGGGGGTCTTCCATAAATAGCATCACGTCTGTCACTTATCATCACAAAATAACCAGATCCCACATTCAAAAAGACGTTTTTTATCTTTTAAAAACACCGATTTCGGCTGAGCATAGGTCTGACCACACTATCCCTTCATATACTGACGTCACAGGTGACCTACTCAACTCTACTTCACCTGCCCAGTGTCCTGCCAAGTCTCAGACTACATGTTTTTATCGTTTAAAAAAACGATTCCAGCCTAGCATGTCTCTGGCCACATTATCCCTTCATATGCTTAGGACAAAGAAACAGATGAACTCTACTTCACCTGCTCTGTATCACAAGTTCAGATAGGCAACTTTATCATTCACATCTAAAAAAAATGAAATATAGTTTTTTAATATTGCCGTCATGTGTCTAGAACCCGTGCCACCCGCATGAGAGCATATTACACTAACAACTTAGCTATCTAGAGTCGTGCTATATCATAATACGTTGAGTCTTCTTATGCAACTATCTCAATCTCTAGATCTAGATCTAAGTCTAGTAACTTTCAAATTAAATTTTATCTTAAATTAACCAATTCCATAGCTAAACAAACAAAGATTATATACATTAATAAAGGTCTGAAATAGTTTAGTATATCGAAACTCATTATTATCTAAATCTAGATAGAATTATCTATATTCTACGACTGGTTTGCTTAAGTCTAGTTTTTGCGTAGCTCTTGTTAGATCTAGATTAGACCTATTCTAGATCTACATAGATAAATCACAAAGATTTATATCAAGTACTAAAGGGCTAAAGTAGTTTAATAAAGAAACTCAAAAATGTATTATGATTTCAAAATCGGATTGTATTTTTAACTAATTAATCTTTGGTTTGACCTAGATTCTAGATCTAGATCTATAAATAACTTTCTTGGACAGATTGTAGAGCTAGAGAAATTTATTGTAAAACTAAATGAAAAAGACAGTTGAAAATTGATATAAGTGTTGTAACGAAATAAAAACAGCAAACGGACGCATTGTTCAAGGTATCGCCGACAGAAAATTAGCTTTATAAAGCGTTAAAGATCTGAATAAGATTCAAAATCTTGTATGAAGCCGCCATTTATTGTACTAAAAAGTAAACAAATCATGTGACGTCACTATTCACTCAAAGTAAAGTCGTTTTTCTAAACTTTTAAAATTAATGTGGTTAATCTTTCAATGAATAAATCAATAAACTAATTAAATTCTTTAAATAAATTTCTGATTAACAGTCTGTCTGAAAACAAAAAATGGTTCTCTACCTACATACGATTTTACAGCTCTCCACATAGAGCAGATTCTCTCCATTACCCAGTCAGACAAACAAAAAAAACAGACAAAAAAATAAATATTCAACCATGTAAACAAACTTGAGTTTTATTAGTATACTAGACTACCTATCAACCCTTGGATAACTGTGGGTTTCGGGGGTCATCCATAAAAAAACATCAAGTCTGTCACTTATCGTCACAAAAAACCAGACCACACATTCAAAAAGATGTTTTTTATCTTTTAAAAACACCGATTTCGGACTATCCCTTCAAATACTCAACTCTACTTCACCTGCCCAGTGTCCCGCCAAGTCTCAGACAACATGTTTTTATCGTTTAAAAAAATGATTCCAGCAGAGCATGTCTCTGACCACACTATCCATTCATATGCTTAGGACAAAGAAACAGATGAACTCTACTTTACCTGCCCTGTATCCCGCCAAGTTCAGAAAGGCAACTTTATCATTCACATCTAAAAAAAAAATGAAAAAAAAAACTTAGCATTGACGTATTGGTCTATAACCCGTGCCACCTGCATGAAAGCCGATTACACGAACAACTTAGCTATTTAGACTCGTGACGTCACTGATGTTTTTTTCTAGTATAGTTTAATACTTTGAGTCTCCTTATGCAACTTGATTTACGCTCGTAGATCTAGATCTAAGACTAGTAGTAGTAACTTTCAAATAAAATGTTATCTTAAATTAGCCAATTAAATCGCTAAACAAACAAAGATTTATATAAAATAATGAAGGTCTGAAATTATCTAGATAATTTGTCTAGATAGAATTATCTAGATCTAGATTTTACGACTCGTTTGCTTAAGTCTTTAGTCTAGTTTTTGCGTAACTCTTGCTAGATCTAGATTGATTAGACATATTCTAGATAGATCTAGATCTGGATAGATAAATCAGAAAGCTTTATATCAAGTATTTAAGGACTAAAAAATGTATTATGATTATGAAATGGATTGTATTTTCATCTAATTAATCTTTGGTTTTTATCTAATTAATCTTTGGTTTGACCTAGATTCTAGTTCTAGATCTATAAATAACTTTCTTGGCCACCTGGTATTTAGATCTATAAATAAATAGATAACTTTCTTGGACAGATTGTAGAGCTAGAGAAATTTATTGTAAAACTAAATGAAAAAGGCAGTTGAAAATTTATATAAGTGTTGGAACGTAATAAAAACAGCAAACGGACGTATTGTTAAAGTTATGGCAGACGGAAAATTAGCATTAGAAAGCATTAAACTTTTGAATGGGCCACAAAGTCTATGATGGTAGCCGCCATTTTATTGTACTAAAAAGTAAACAAATCATGTGACGTCACTATTCAGTCAAGGTAAAGCTTTTGTTTGAAAATTTTAAAATTAATGTGGTTGATCTACCTATAAATAAATCAATAAATTAATTTACGTCTTTAAATAAATTTGTGATTAACAGTCTGTCTGAAAAGAAAAATTGTTCTCTACCTACAAACTAGTTTACAGCCCTACACATATTGCAGATCCTCTCCAGTAGGAAATCAGACAAACAAATAAATATTCGAACATGTAAACAAAGTTGAGTTTAAGTAGTATAGAGATGGATTTGTCCTTTTATATTTCCTTCTTAGCAACTTCATATATTCCTCAAGTATATAGGCCATGCATTCAAAAGGCTGACGTTGTCTTTCTGCTGGACGCCTCAACCAGTATCGGAGAACAAAACTGGACTCGCACAACAGAGATAGCCGCAGACATCACTAAGTATGTTGACGTTCGTCCTGTTAGCGTCCTGTTCGCTACGGTGATGTTTAATCGCATACCGACCAAACAGTTCGACCTCAAAGATCACATGGACCATTATTCTCTCGTAAAGGTAGGAATGTTTCGAAAAGGACCACACACACACACACACACACACACATGTATATATATATATATATATATATATATATATATATATATATATATATATATATATATATATATATATATATATATATATATATATATATATATATATATATATAAATATATCAAACAATATTTAACCATGTTTAACCATGTTTACATGAACTTTGTAGTTGTGTATCAGCTTTTCAGGATTTTTACTATCTGTTTTTCAAAAGTCTATAACTTAAATACCGTTTCTGATACATGATGAAATTTCACGTATAAGTAAACGATCTAATTCTCTGTTTACTGTCAAATATGAGTAATTTCCGGTGACCGGAAGTAGTGCTTTACACAATTTCGGTTCTCTCAAAAAACTTAAGAATGTATAAAGTACTAATTTTTCGCACTATTATACACAGTTTCTTTGCTGTTTACTTTGTGCGCAATTCTTTTTACTTTCTTGTATACAGAGTATAGAGGAAGTATTGCAATCGTGCACAAAAATCACACAGGATTTGACAGATTTCGCGGTTTTACACCTTTTTATTTCAGTGTATACGGAATATAGGGGACTTATTTATATAGGGCTAAAATTATAAATGAAGATGTATCTGAATTTCAGCATCTTACGGGTAACACAGCCGGAAAGCATGGATTTTGAAATTTGTCCTTAAGTCTGTGTATGTGTTTGTTTGTGTGTGTGTGTGTGTGTGTATGTATTTATGACTGTGTAGATGTCTGTGAACACGATAACTTGAGTACCGTTACAGCTAAGTTGATGAACTTTCATTTATAAGTATTATATCAAATTTGTAGTTCTGTAACAATGTTTCAGCGATTTCCGATAACCGAAAATTTTGTTTTTTCTTCTGCTTTAAACTCCGGAATAAATAGTGTTTTAGTTAGCAACGCGTGACATCAATGGTAATAATCGTATTAAAATATAACACCCCTGTTGCTAATGCAGTACAATGAAAAATGTTTATGTTCATCTTAGGCTTTACTAGCAATAGCATACCCAGGTATCCCAGGCACCAAGACCTACCTAGCCCTGCGGGACATTACCAATAAAAACATGTTTGGTGCTGAGGCTGGTGGGAGAGACGACGCCCCGGATAATGTAATCATAATAACGGACGGAAATTCCGACTTTTCCCTAAGTTAGTAATTTATATACATACATACACACACACTCATATATATATATATAAATATATAAATATATATATATATATATATATATATATATATATATATATATATATATATATATATATATATATATATATATATATATATATATATATATATTCATACAAGAGTAGTCTTTTTTACCAAACAACGATGATAATAAAGCATTTAATTAAACGTTAAATTTATATATATATATATATATATATATATATATATATATATATATATATATATATATATATATAAACAAACCACTATAAACGTGAAATCGTTTTTATTTTTAAAAATAATTTCTTCAACAAGAATATAAGGTTAGCAATCTGAATATGATCATCAGAGAAAACATTTGTTTGTATCTAATTAGCCCAAACTGAAGCCACCAGACTAAAACAGGGAGGAATAAACATAATAACAGTGGGTATTGGCAGCAAGCAATCACAAGAAGAGCTGAACGAGATCGCTAGCGCTCCGGAGAAAGTCTTCAACGCGGACAGCATAGATCTTCCATGGGAAATCATAGACTCACTGAATATGAAAGCTTGTGAACGTATGTTTGGATTTGATTTACTAAATTTTTTTTCCAAGAAAACAAAACAAAACAATTCCTTATACGTTATAATTTGTGATAAGAAAATGTAGCATTGAGTCAAAAAAATTATATTCGTGAGACAGAAACATTTAATGTTACAATTTATTAAAAAATTATGTTTTTTTTTTCTCTTTCTAGAACGCGAGGTTTCAAGAGAAATGGACGAGATTATGCCCATTTATTAAAGAAAACACCACAGTCAAAAATAAAATATTTTACGATAAAGACATAAGTTTTCTTTTATTTATGCTAAAAAAGTGTTATATTTTATTTAAAAAAATAATAGTATCAGTACGGGATGTGTTTATACATATTTATATATATATATATATATATATATATATATATATATATATAATATATATAATATATATAATATATATAATATATATATATATATATATATATATATATATATATATATATATACATATATATATATATATATATATATATATATATATATATATATATATATATATATATATATATATATATATATATATATATATATATATATATATATATATATATATATATATATATATATATATATATATATATGACCATGCCTTTTAAAAAACAGATAAAGAAGTAACTATTTGTGTTTCTTAAAAGCTTAACTCCTCACATCATCAGAAACAGGTGTATAAGCTACTCCATTTTTTGGCTCCCTACAAATATTGATTTTTAGTAATGCGTGACTGAGTTCAATAAATTCTACGTAGCTTCCCTGACAAGTTAGACTCACTTGAACACTTGAACTTGAACACGCATACCAAACTCGAGGCTCATAGGGTAGTGGTTCTTGTTTCTACATCTCAACTACGCCCCCCCCCCCCATGTCCATTGCTCAGTCACTAACTAAATTAAAAAAAAACAATATTGGTGCAAGAAAACAAATCATTTTCGGACTAGGTCTCTCTGTGATGATAAAGAACTAACTTTGGAATGTGGAATTACCTATTGTAGTTAGCTATTGTTTTACTATAGTTTCTGATTAGTTAGTTTACCAACTGCAACACATCTATAAGGCTCTGTTTAAGATATTTTCTAACTAGAGATTTGGCCCTGCAGTCTTAACAACTCTACGGCCTTTACCAAAATTTTATTTTAAAACAATATAAAAGAAAAGTTTTTTTTCCTAAAATGCTGTTTAAAATAAGCGTACATGCTTACAAAGAAAAGTAACCACGACGTTTTTACAATGAAGATAAATGCCATGGTTATATTCCCTTCAAAATCGCTGTATGTCTAAACATATATATATATATATATATATATATATATATATATGACCATGCCTTACTTAGAGTGAATAGTGTCTTCACATGATTTATTACTTTTTAAAACAACAATGGCGGTTCCGTCGAAGATTTTGGTGCCGATTCGAAACTATAGCGCATTATATAGCTAATTTTCTGTTGGCTATAGTTTCACGATGCGTTCGTTTGCTATTTTTATTAGGTTTCAACACTATTATCACTTTTTTAACAGTTCTTTTTATTTTAGTAGGCCTATACAATAAATTTTTCTAGATCTACAGATCAGCTGTCGAAGGAAGAAAAAGTTATGAATCTAGCCAGATCTAATCTAGATCTAGATCTAGGTCATTAGACTTAACGTAAATTCCTTATCTAGACTTAATGTAAATGCAACATCTAGAATCTATTTCAGGCCTTAATTATTTTATACTAGCGTACCCGCCCCCCGCGCATTGCCGCGGGGATAGAAGAAAGTTTGACGAAATATATCATTACCAAACATAAGAGTCCTTTCATATGACGTCACGTCCGCTCGTGAATGTAAACATCCGCCATCTCGGTGTACAGATCTACATTCAAAATGGTGAAAGGTTGTGATACTCGAAGTGGCAGATCTAAATGGATTCCTTTATTTCGACTGCCAAGGGTTATATTAAACCAAGATGATAGAGATCGACAGTTAACAGAACGTAGACGCCGTCAATTTTTAGCCAATATTTATCGCAGCGGGCAAATAAGATGCGAATCTGTTCTCGACACTTTGTTTCAGGTAAGCACAGTCTAAATAATAACCTTCATTTTAATAACCTATAAAAGATAATTATTAATAAAACAAATATGCTCGACCTTCACAAATACTAATAGTAAAAGACAAAATCAAAAGTAATAATAAGAATAATAAGATTTAATAGTAGGCCTAATAATAGTGTTTTAATTTCTAGATCTAGAATCTAGCTCTAAACATGGCGTAAACAAAATTCGGACCACAGATCTAGATTCTGGATTTAGTGTGACTGGCTCCGCTGGGTAGACATAGAATCTAGAATGTACTTATTTACTTAAATTTGATTACAAAATTTAGATCTACATTCGAATCAAAATACACCCATAATAAATGAAAAGTAGTCATAATAGGCCTAATAAAGCATTTAATTGTCTCTAAGATCTAAAATCTCGCTCTATAATCTAATCATTTTTTTAGCAAACGAAATTTTCTGAAATTGAAATAAATTGTATGACTAGACTTAGATCTAGAATCTGCTACTTAAATTAAATTGTAAAAAGTTTATACAAGCATGTAGTTGATATTATTGTAGTAGAAGGCTTTAATAAAATTACTAAGGCCCAATAACAATGGACCCAGTCTACAATTGATACAATTGCAGGTCTACATGGGGCCTACAGTCTAGTAGTTTACAGTAGGCACCTGGTGTGTAGCTAGTATACTAGTGTGTAGCTTTCCCATGATAAGCCATGTGTGCTATAAATGACATAACATGACATCGAGGTGAGAAATGTTGAGGGGAGAGCAGTGGGACTTTCCCCTTTGTTCTCCCTGCTGGGCCCTGAGGGTCAAAATTATATAAGAGATACTATCTCTGTGGGGCTGGGTATCACGGAGGTGAGAAATGTTCAGGGAAGGGCAGTGGTACTGGCTCCTCTTTGGTTTTATTGTGGGTTAGAAAAAAGGTGGGGGCTGGCCATCATGAGGGTTGAACATCAGTATTAATGTGTCTGATCACTTCCCTGCTGAATTATAAGGGTCTTAAATTGTATAACATGCTACCCAGATTGGCTGAGATTGGTTATTACCCGTGAATTATATTAGCCGTTGTAGGGTGGGTTTTGTAGGAGTTAAGTGGTCTAACGATTGCTACAGTAGTGTGGTTGTACTAGATCTATTGCTACTAAATCTTGTACTTAACAGAGAATCTAGAATCTACATTAATTAGATCTAGATAACCTATAATATATTACTGCATTTGATCAGATTCGTCTACTTAAACTCTAAACGCAAACAGTATTACTAACAGTATTTTTATTTAGAAATTTCGGCCACATATTTATATTATCCATAAAACTGTTAATAACAGTATAAGGATCTTCAATTCCTAAGAGTTCAAGTTTTTTAACATATTTTTCCTTTTCCGCGGGTGCGGTTCTTTACATACAGTGAACGCGTCCAGCGCTGGTGAACAGCTGATTGTGTTTACGTCCGGTGTACACCACTGTGGCGGCGGACGCAGGTATCACGTGATTTAAGGTCACATGTTTGCAAGGACTCTTATGTTCTAAGACGCGTGACCTTCTTTTCTAAAAAATGAGTTATTTAAATGTCAACAATGCTTGCGCTTGGATCATAAATATCGTGACACGCGTTTACCTACACTACCGCATGAAAACCTTCAGTGTACATTAATCACTCACCGAAATAATGAGGTAGAACACACTAAGGTAATCGTACATGTGTCACAGACGTAGAGGCCCGCTCTCAGGAGCCCCTCCTCCCGGTTACATTACCACATAGGCGCGGCGTACGACCCCTGTCTCCTTAAAACTAACAGGCACCATCGTGCCAAATAGCATCCTGCTAACAATGATGCAGATTGCGTCATTCCCTAAAGTGACACGGAATAACGCCGCGAAACAGCAATCGACTTTTATTCTCATATACCGTATATAGAGAGAAAACAAATCGCGCTCTGCAGGGGCGCCACCCCTGCAAATTTGAAAATGTTTTTAGGGCAGAAACATCCCCAGGAATATTCTCAACATCTTCCCAACGTCACCGCAATTCAGTTTTATTATTTTTATATACCGTATATAGAGAAAAATCGCACCTTCCCGTGGCGCCGCCCTTGCAAAATAAAAAAAAAAAGATTAGTTTGTAGAACCCTTCCCTGGAGTGTTGTAATCAACACCCCGAAGTTTGATTCGATCGGATGAATGGTAAGAAACCGCAATCGACTTAAATTTGTATATACCGTAAATAGAGAAAAAACACATCGCGCCATACGGGGGCGCCACCCCTACGAATATGAAAAAGTTTTTTGCGCAGAAACCTCCCCAGGAGTATTCTAAACATCTTTCCAAAGTTTCATGGCGATCGTGTGAACGGTGTCACTGCAATTCACATTTATTATTGTTATATACCGTATATAGAGAAAAATCGCACCCTCCCGTGGCGCCGCCCTTGCCAATTTGAATTTTTTTTTGCAGAAACCTCCCCAGGAATATTCTCAACAACTTCCCAAAGTTTCACGGCGATGTGATGAGAGGTGTAGTAATGCATAAAGGACAAACAAACAGACAAACATACATTGCTTTTTATATATATACTAGCGTACCCGTCCCCCGCGCGTTGCCGCGGGGATAGAATAAAGTCTGACGAAATATATTAGAAGGATATCACCAATGCATTACCAATCATATGTTCTTAGACGCGTCACCTTGTTTTCTAAAACTGTGTTATTTAAATGTTAACAATGCCTGCGCTTGGATAATAATTATCGGGACACGGGTTTTCCTACACTACCGCATGAAAACCTTGAGTGTATATTAATGTAAATCACTCACAGAAATAATTAGGTAGAACACACTTCGGTGACCACCCATATGTCAGGGACATAGATGGGCGCTCTCATGAGCCCCCCCCCCCCCCAACCCCCCCCCCCCCCCGATTGCACTACCGCAGAGGCGTAGCGTAAGGCCCCTGGCTCCTTAAAACTAACAGGCGCCATCGTGTTCATAGGATAACCCAGCGTGCCAAATAGCATCCTGTAAACAATGATGTAGATTTCTTCATTCGCTAAAGTGACACAAATGAACAGGATTTTTTTCTTTAACACATACAAAAATTATTTGACATGTTTTAAACATCAGTTTGACTGATGCAATATGCTAGCGTTACTAATGGTCTATTATTAGATGCTCGGTCTCAATTTCGACCTGGACCGTCTAATA